CCATTTGATGACAGGGATAATATTCTAATAAACATATCTGCATACTTCCTACAGTTTCTGAACATCTATCCATAACAAGGATAAATGGCTTTTTGCTTCAAGAATAAAGAACTGCAGAATTTCACAGTATCTCTAACTGAGGCAGGCCCAGCAGTGTGTCAAGGATCTGCCAAGTGGCAAATGGAGACAGGAACACATTCTGTGTGGTTGTAGCTTAATGTCCAGGTCTCTAATTATTCAAACATATGTGTAGGAATCCAAGGCTTCCCTAAATTAGACTGAGCACTTACTCAGGTTAACCCGTCCAAAATCCACAAATATCCTCAATGCTGCAGAACCAAGTAAGTAGCCAAAAGCTGGGCCAAACACTGCGATGGAAAATAAGATTGCTGAAAAGAAAGAATGAAAAAGTGGATTACTTTGTACGGGCTAAATCTCTTCAATTACGATGCATTGGTCTTAATTCTTCCAAGGTTGTAATCAAGTTTGATCTGAGCTGAATTTCTAAAGCAAGGGTTTTTATTGCTACTACAAAGAAAACTGTGTAAAACTCTATTCAAAGTAAATTGTATAATTAAGACTTACTGAAGTCAATTGTTACACATTTTCTTTAGCAAAGCCACTCTTATTTGCCACTCAAATAAATTCTAACAATCTTCCTAAAATAAAGAGCAACTCCCACTTTAAATGTACAAAATCGTGTAGTGCAGTGCAGTGCAGAAACACAACAATGTGGAAGTATTTGGATCTAAAGAATACGTGGAACTCATTCATTTTCAGCTGCTAGATCTGTAATTTTTTGCTCACAAAGACTCTCAGACTAATCTTCTGTATGCAAAGGGACAACAGAATCACTGAATACCCCAGAGCAAAAGACCGTATTGTCCTAAAAATATTATGAAATAGCATTAGAGCACCAATAATTTATTTGATTGAGCTATTCAAGAACTTTTTTTGCATTGAGAAAAGAAACAACCTTATGCTATGCCAAATAACCTTTCTTCACTTATATCTAACTGCTGAGCACACATGCCCTGGCCATCTCTTTTTTTCTGCAGCATCCTCATAATATTACATTAATCTAATGCCTAGCCTACTGGGCCAGCCTTAAATCATTTTTAACTGTACCACTGTTACAACAGTATTTGTATCCAGGTTTGTATTTAGGTTGTGGATACCATCTGATGTACTTCACCAACTATTTGCTGGTGGTGCAGGAGATGTATGCAATCCAGCATCTATTAGCTACTTTATTAAACTGGACTGTCCCACTGCATTTGATCAGCCTGAGCAGCAGCTGAAGAGCAAGTGATGGTGATGGTGGGAACTGAACAGTGAAACAGAAGACAGATGGTCCTTTCTCCTTTTTCACAGCACAGCTCTCCCACACCTGTCAAATGTTGTTTTGGCTGCTTTTGAACATTGGTTTAATGCCATTCTGGAAGAGGGTTAAACCTGTGTCTAAAAGGAGCTTGACTATCCGCTGATAGTGGTCTTCCTTTGAACTTATATAGGCCAAACACTTGCCAAAAAAACCCAGAGTGTTTTGACAGATAGCTAAATATGCTGGTCTAGCATCTTATTAAACACTCGCCTTCTCCATGTAAAAGAAAGCGATTGGTGATATCTTCTCACTTGTGGCAGGATAGAATCACCAGTGGGAGTAGCAAATGTTATGCTGGTCTTGTTTTATCCTGGCAAAAGGACTGGCAACTAACACTGGTATATCAATACTAAACCAACAATTCTGAAATGATATGTAGATGACCAAAGAATCGTAGAAACAAAGCCAGGATATAACTGGTTTTATCAGTTTCTATCCATACCTACTGTATTCTATCTCATTTTTAAATCCTATTTTTAAAACAGGGCCAAAAGTGTTTTTTTGGAGGAGGAAACGCCTTTCACCTCAGTCTCTTATAAAAAACACCCTCTCAGACTGAATCCAGACGACAAACAAATGCCTTATTTTAATTAATAAATAAATACCAAATTAAAACCTGTGGTAAAATGTCTTAAGAGTATTTAGAGTTTGACTGGTGCCTAAGGATTTCTACTACGTGTCTTGTGCATGCAGGCCAGCACGGTGGCTGCTACTTTCTCCCCTTCCTCTCTGTTCTTGCCTAAGCCTACCAGAAGTTGCACCCGGTAAGAGTGCTCAGGAGCCGGAGGCTGGTGGGTAGCCTGCTTCATCATGTAGGGAAGAGGGTTATTTTATAGTGGTAGCAACACTGGTGCTACAATGCAGCACTATAATGCTGCAATTGCTAGATAAGCTGGGGAGAGGTGGTATCTGGCAACTGCCTGAAGACTTCTACCGGTGAGGCAAGCAAAGCATCAGCTCTGGAGGATCTTATTGGATTGCAATAACACTGCAAATACCTTACCATACGAAATGCCAATGCCACATATCTCATGGCAGAAAACCTCTAAGTCAGTGTTGTCCAAACTTGGCCATTTTAAGATGAGTGGACTTCAACTCCCAGAATTCTCCCCCCCCCCCCGCCCGCGCGGGCG